AATGAAGAGAGCAACAATCAGAGACATTAGGTAAAATGCTAAATGATGTCTGATCAGCTAAAGTAATAATCCCAATGCAAATATACAGAATGGAGAAATATTCGTACATGAATCTGAGATGACAAAAATCAACTTCTAGCTTTAGTCTTGGCAGTTCTGAGCTGCAGTGGACAGTGAAGTATCCCTTGGAGATCACAGAACCCATAAATTTGAATATTCATGGCAACTATTGTAGCTATTCAGCATTTTTTTCCCTTTAGTATTTATTACGAATGCATGGTGGGGGAAGGGCACTACTTGAATGGGTGTAGCATAAGAATTTCAGTTGAAAATTTCTCTCAAAACAAATATTGTGTGTGTATGTATAAAGCTAGTTGAGTTCTACATTAGGGTGTTTCAGAAGTTCAGGTAATTTTAACACTTAGGAAAATGTGTGTGGGTTCCCCCTCACCTCCCCCATCATCTCTCCTGGCAAATGTCTTGTAACCTCTTGTAATGGCGTGAAGGAAGAGGATGATGTTTTTTTTTTCCCTGAAGCAGAAATTGCCAATTGCTTTAACATGCAGCCGTTTTAATCTGTGCTGCATGGAAGAGCCTTTATAATTTCAGGCACCTATTTTTTTTGTACAAACTAAAAAGTATATTTTAGTTGCAAAGTTGGATTCCTTTTCAAAGGAATGTAATTCTAAAACTGCTTACTGTGAACGGACATTGAGTCTTATATTTTTGAATCTAGGGAACATGAATGGTTTAAGCAGGATCTTCCCAAATACTTGTTTCCTGAAGACCCATCCTATAGCTCAACCATGATTGATGAAGAAGCCTTAAAAGAAGTATGCGAGAAGTTTGAATGCACTGAAGATGAAGTGTTAAGCTGTCTATACAGCCGAAATCATCAGGATCCCCTAGCAGTTGCTTATCACCTCATTATAGATAATAGAAGAATAATGAACGAGGCCAAAGACTTCTATTTGGCTACAAGCCCACCAGATTCTTTTCTTGAAGATCACCATCTGTCTCGCCCTCATCCTGAAAGAGTGCCATTCTTGGTAGCTGAAGCACCACGGCCTCGCCACACTCTTGATGAACTGAATCCACAGAAATCAAAGCATCAAGGTGTGAGAAGAGCCAAGTGGGCATTTAGGATACGGAGCCAGAGTCGACCAAACGATATCATGGCTGAAGTTTGTCGAGCAATTAAACAACTGGATTATGAATGGAAAGTAAGGCAATAAGGGACCTTTGCAACAGACGCCAGTAAACTTTTTCAGTTACATAGGTAGCCTAGAAATTTGGAAATTTATATTCTCTGGTGCTTTTCTTTATGGGAAAATCTGGTATACCTATGGGTACATGGGGCTTTTGATTACAGTTCATGCTGGTAGAAGGAGTCTTGCTGATGTCTGATCTTTTCTAATGGGGGTGCGTATGTGGTCTGTTTCCCCCTCCCCCCCCGCCCTTCACATCCCCAACACAGCAATATTCTGGCAAAAAGACAGGTAGAAATGACCTGTTTATAACCAGTGAGTTGAAATGAGGGGAAAAGCTCATACAGTGCTTTTTTGGGGGGGAGGGGGGAAGCTTTAGTAGAAACTCACTCAAATCTCTTCTGTACTAGGTTGTAAATCCATACTATTTGCGTGTTCGAAGGAAGAATCCAGTGACAAGTGCATATTCTAAGATGAGTCTACAGTTGTATCAGGTGGACAGTAGGACGTACTTGCTGGACTTCCGTAGCATTGATGGTACGTGAAGACTTGATAACTTACTGGAGTCGTTTACATTTAGAATGATTTCTACTGCATGTTGTAATTCACTTAGGTAGAAATGCTTCCCTGTATCAGTTTAAGCTGATCTAAATCCGAGTTGGTATTTTACTTCCTTCTCTCCTTGTCTGTTGTATCCGAGCCCACATGGTTAGCTGGTTCATCCATTTAAAAATAACAGTTTTTAGGCTATATTGACTTCTGTATGCACCAGCGCTAATGCTACGGGTGCAAAAGGAGACCGATTTGAGAGGCTAGATTTAGATCAGCCTAAACTGCTTGTTGAGCCTTGCCCCTGGATTTGAGCATTGATTTAGATCCGAGGTAAGCGTTTGAGTATTCCTTCTGGTAAAGATAGGCATGAAAATCTGATTTCAACTCTAGATGTCAAGTTGTATATTTTGTATCTAGTGCTGTAGTAGACAAAACTTGAGATGATAATTATCCATTTGCAGTAATTGAATTCTTGAAAGCAAGTGGCTTAACCTGTAGAATAAGTTCTAGGTCAAATAGCCCTTGAAATAGGTCAAATAGCCCTGGAACATAATTTAGAGGTACTGTGAACATAGGAATAGCTTGCCTAAGAGATGACTTATCCTAGGGTAATTTAGGAATATAGGTAATTTAGGAATAGGAATAATTTGGTGCTTCAGTGCTGTTGAGTATGTACTGAGCTCTTCTGTAGCAACTGCATACAGTTTGCCAAAGCTTCTTGCATACTCAAAGATTAAACAGGATTAGATGAAAAAGGAAAGATGTTTGTTGTTCCTGATCTAATATTGATAACCAATTTGCCTCCTTTTTCTCACAGATGAAGTTACTGAAGCAAAATCTGGGACTGCAACTCCACAGAGATCAGGTTCTGTGAGCAACTATAGATTCTGTCAAAAGGATTCAGATGCTGATGCACAAGGAAAATCAGCAGATACATTCCTTACCTCATCAGTGACCTCTTCACTTGACTCTTCTACAGCTGATTTAACTTCAAGACCAGGGAGTCATACAATAGATTTTTTTGAGATGTGTGCAAATCTTATTAAAATACTTGCACAATAATTCTGAAGATGGGCTTATTTCTTTTACAGCAATAAGCATGCCTAAATCATAGTCAAATGCTTCCAGTTATAATCAAATTAAGGCACTGAAAAAACTAGCCACAAAATGCAATTTGCCCAGGGACTGAAATGATTCTGGGCAGTTAGGTGTAGTGTGTTAATGCTGGAGTGAATTCTGATTGTTTGCTCTCCAGTAACTTAATATAGGTACAGGAAATGGTGTGCCCGTTGGGCAGTGTTAGTAACATATTGAGTGCACACTAGACTTCATAGAGTATTTAAGTCACACAGACTTCTTTGCTGGTGATGCATACATCTGATGCACTGTAAGTAAATGTACACTTATTGGTTAAATGACTGAAAGATGTGTTGTTGGTCACCATCTACAATTGTGCCTCAGCTGATCAGAACTATCAATTATTTATTAACAGTAATGTGTTAAAACAGATACTCCCTCCTTTGACAGTAAATGAGGTTTTGTGTGTTTATAACTTTATAAATTAGATTAGTGTGTTTATAACTTACTATTTTAATAACTGATAGGTTTGATCAAATGTATATGCTGGCAAATCCAACTAGTTGAAATGTCTTAATGCGTGTACATGTTCAGGAAGCACTTAAGGGTGAAATTTTGTGGGCTGTAAGCAGAACAGTTGAGGCTGCAGTGGTGACAAGGAGCTCATACAAGGATGACTTGGTGCCCCAGGGGTGAAACAAAATGTTGCTCTGTGAAGATCTGTCCACAACTTCTGATCAGTGTGGACTGAACCCACCTCTCATCTTTGTGTGATATTAGCCAACCAGCTCCCCACTGCTACTGCAAGCTGAGGATCTCGTTCTTCAGAACTGTGCACATGTAGCGAATAGCACAGCCTAGGAACCTCTGTGCTATTCCAGAATCTAAAATTGACAGATTCTTAAATAAATGTTAATACTCTCCTGATACAGCTGTTTATATCACAAGTTGACACAGCATATACTGTATAGAATTCACTTTGTGGTTGAAACTACACACATATAGGTCAGGTTTTCTCAAGCCACCTTTATAGCAAGTTTTGTGATTTAAATAAAAACATAATAGTACAGCTGGTCAGGTGATTGCTTAAAATTGATCATGACAAATAATTGAGTGCTAATATTCAGAATGTTTTCAGGAATGGGCTGCAATTGCTGATGACAAATCTGTCTGCGGTGCTTCAGAAAAAATGATCCTCAGATGTTAAAATCGTAGCTAGTACTTGCACCAAAACATTTCCTAAAATTGAATGTATTATCTGCAGTTACTTTTGTCATCTAGCAATAATGGATGTAAACGTTAAACAGTAAAGTGTATGCAAGAAAACATGCTTAGTCTTACTTTTAAGAACAAGTATTCTTTTCAAAATGAACCTGCTCAGAGACTGTTCTCACATTTACAGACTGGAATTGAAGGCATTAACATGGAGTGAAACTTGGGCTCTTAAAATGGGTGGGGATTTTTTGCCAATGACTTCAGTGAGCTGGAGACTCCATCCATGACTACAGACTGTAAGAACAGTTTAACCCAGGGCAGCTGGTTTCAGTCCAGAAGTTCATCTGTTAAGAACACTTAAAGAATCTGAAGAAAGTGTTTAAGCCTCAGGGAATGCTATAACTGTATTCTGAACTGGGCGATTGAGTGGTCTGTCTAGCACCTAGGTACAAGTTAAGACTTCAGGCCCCTGTGCTCAAGTAGTGTTGCATATGGTACCTGTAATGCAAGGTTATATTACTGTTTCTCGAGGTGGAAGACTGTCCTTTAAATAGAGCTTGGGATTTATACTGCTGATATAAAGATGTTAACATGAGGGACCAACTGCAAATTCTACTTAAGTCCTTTTTTTAGTCTTCTAAGAATTGCCTCTGATGTACTGAATAAATCATTGTGATTATTCTTTGGTTTCCCTTTATTTTGAAGTTGTTAAATATTGCATTTGTACAAACATAACATGCACAGATTTTTTTATTGCAGTAATTCCTCATTTGGAATTGGTACAGGATCACTAAAGCTGTCTCTTGCATATGTTAGATTAAATGCTTAAAAGATATCTACTCCTGGTTTGCAAATTTGTCATGCTGACCACAAATGCAAGGTGTCAAGGTGCAAATAATTTTTATTTTTTATATACTTTTTTGGCCCTCTTGTGCTTTAAGGCAACCATGTTTTTATTTGTTTTGGTAGCTGGAGGTTGAAACAAGTTTCTGGCAGACATGTACTGTATGCATAGTTTCAAATAAAGTAAATTTTATGGGTATGCTAAATCAGTTTTGATGGCCAAAAGTTTTCTGATTGAGCTCAAGTTTTTATACTGGGTGGGGGGAGGGAAGAAGGGGGACTGACAACCTATTTGAATCTGGCACAGTTATTTGTTGCACAACTTTCTTATGCCTTTTAAAGGTCTTGGTGTTGAACTGCTTTTTCTGGATTTCCTACTGATCTTGCAGACAACTTTTTTTAAGGTGTGTTAGTATCTGCCAACAGACGCTCAGTGAAACAAACTTTCACTGAGAAATCTGGCAGGGCTGTAAGGGGACACATTATGCAAAGTGGTCAAGTTCATTACTCCATATTCCCAACCTTACTCCGGTCGGAGTACTTAGAATTACCTTGCCTTTGTAGTGTGACTTGAAAAACATGGATACATCTGTTTGTCCGTATGCAATATAACTCACTAGGTAAAGAATATATATTCATCTTGGTGGTGCAATAGTTTAACTTTCATGTATGTCTTGACATGAGTGTTTAATACATTTAAACTTTAAACACTTAAAAAGCCAAAGTAAACATACTTAACCATGATGTTTGGGACTGTGTGCACGCTCTCTTCTGCTGTCTGCCTATGTCAAATTAATATGCAAGGGTTGCTGGAGTTTGTTTTAGCTGCCATTTTTAAACATTTAACTCCCTGGCAATGGGGAAAGCTGGGCGGGTGCCCTGGCCCTCCCTTTCCTGTGGCCATGCTTTCCTGGTGGAACAGAAGTGTGGGGCAGGTAATGATCCCTGGGCTCGGTAGGCTGCGGAGGCCATTACGACTGGGACGTGGCAAAGCCATGTCCCGTGCCTCACTCCACATTCTGGTCGCCACAGCCCCACA